TGTAGTACCGTCTGCTGCTGCTGTAGCATCGTCTGCTGCTGCTGTATCACTGTCAGCTGCTGCTGCTGCTGCTGCTGCTGCTGCTGTAGCACCGTTGTTGGTGTGGCTTATTGAGAATACCAAGAAACAATTAACCCCAGAGGATTTGCCACCCAGGATAACCCAAAAAAGTCAGTGTCATCGAAGACTGTCTAACTTATTTCCATTGGGGTCCTTAATCTTGTCTCCCAGGATGCAACCCACACCAGTCGACTAACACCCAGGTGAACAGGGAAAAATGCCTGGAACTAGTGCTCATATTGGTGAATTTAAAGCCAGCAAAGGTTGGTTTGAGAGATTTAAGAATCGTAGTGGCATACACAGTGTGATAAGGCCTGTTCTGGAAGAAAATGCCAAACAGGACCTACAGTACTCAGGAGGAAAAGGCACTCCCAGGACACAGTGTCTCATCAGTCATTGCTGCATCTTCAATAAAGGTGTCATTTATTCTTCATTTAGTAGAGTAGTACATGCACAATATATATTGTGCATGTACTACTCTACTATTGTGCATGTATCCTTCTCTTTGTGTGTAGAAAAATGTATATTTCATGTGGTAAATTTTTTTTTTTCATACTTTTGGGTGTCTTGCACAGATTAATTTGATTTCCATTATTTCTTATGGGGAAAATTCATTCGCATACCGATCATTTCGCATAACAATCAGCCCTCTTGCACAGATTAAAGTCGCTATGCGGGGGCCCACTTTATATATATATATATATATATATATATATATATAATATATATATATGTATGTATGTATGTATGTATGTATGTATATGTATGCATGTATGCATGCAATAAGATCACAGTAAACAGGTGATTTTAAAATATGCAAAACAACCACTGTGAAAGAGTAGTGAAATTCCAAGCGCTTTCGTGACTACTCACATTGTCAAGGAACTATGAAAGTAATACATCAAAGGAAGGCAATTAAAGGGCTTAGACCACACCTCACAGTCAACTCCCACAACAAAGAAACACCTGATGCGCGACAATACCAGATTCATAAGAAAAGAGGAACACTGCAGTAGGTCCGCTAGTCCAACCAGACAGGTCCTCACGACATCCCACTAACAAATTATTCTACCCAAGAAATAAGGTTTACTATTTGTCCAATGTATTATTAAAGTCTAACCAAATTTTATTAATTATATATGAATCTAATTTATATAAACCTAAGGAAATATTCATATTATTTTCAAAACTGCTTTTTATGAAACAAGATTCAATTATATTTCTCTCAACCATGGACTTGCTTGATACAACTTTCTCAACTTTTTGAAAATCAATTGGATGGTTAAAATCTCTCATGTGAATAAATAGAGCATTGGAATCTTGTCCATTTCTAATGCTATGTTTATGTTGTTTTAATCAAAGTTCGAGACTTTTACCAGTTTGACCGTAATAAACTTTATCGCAAATTTTACAAGGAATCTTTAGCACTCCGCGCTTTTTGGGGGGGAATTTTCATCAAATTTTTTTTTTTTTTACTGTATCAAGTTTTAAAAAATAAAAATTTAATTTTAAAAGTTTAAAAAAAGAGAAGGGCATACACCAATTTTCGGTAAGGGAGAACCAACATATTTTTAGTTAATAAGGTTGGTTGCCCCCTTTTTGGTTTAAAAAGTATTTCTAGCAATTTAAATGATTTATCTATTACTTTTTCTGGGGTATTTCAGACAAGGGCTATTTCATAAATTTTTGGATATTTTTTCATCATAACCTGGACTACAAAACGTAAAGCTCTCAAAACATATGACAAACGACAGTTTAACTCTATCTTGATGGAAAAATAATATGTACATAGGAACATTATTTGTGGTTTTTCTGAAAATTTTTAAATTTGAATATTTTTACTTTTAATAAAAAAACCTGAAAAGGAAATGAGTTATTTTCTCAAACCAACAGAAAAAGTTTTTAGAATGGCAAAGCTATTTAATTTCCAGGAAATGGGCATGCCCAAATTCTTGGGCAAAAGACAAAAAATTCATCAACATATCTAACCTTTTTTGCTCATTGGGGAGTTTGTTTTAAGCATTTTGTTTAAAAAATTTCCGAAATTTCTAAAAACAGGGAAAAGGGGTTTTTTCCCATTCCCAAATAAAAATTTCTGGTGTAAAATTTTTTAAAAATAAAAATTTTTTGCATAAACAATGCAAAGTTAAATATTTTTAAATGATGGTGGAACTGGTAATGGAAAATTCAAATTAACAAGTTTCTTCAGTAAGAAACTTAAAAAATCATCAACAGGAACTTTGAAACAAGGAAGTAACATCAAAACTAACCATTTTAAAACTTTTAAGTCATCAAGGATTTAAATTTATCAACTAATCTAGTTTTTTTTAAAACATAAAGTTAGAAATTTTACCAACAATAGGGCTCAAAATGTCAACAAGCCATTTGGATAATTTATACAAAACTGATCCTATGGAGCTAATAATTGGTCTGATTGGATTACCTGGTTTGTGTGTTTTTATTAGCCCATACATGTAAGGTAAAGATGGATTAGTGGAAGTAAATTGTTTAATTAATTCATCTTTGCCTTTTCTTATTTCTTGGGTAGAATAATTTGTTAGTGGGATGTCGTGAGGACCTGTCTAATTGGACCAGCGGACCTACTGCAGTGTTCCTCTTTTCTTATGAGTCCGGTATTGTCGTGTGCAAGGTGTTTCTTTGTTGTGGGAGTTGACTGTGAGGTGTGATCTAAGCCCTTTAATTGCCTTCCTTTGATGTATTACTTTCATAGTTCCTTGAAAATGTGAGTAGTCACGAAAGCGCTTGGAATTTCACTACTTTCACAGTGGTTGGTTTGCATATTATATATATATATATATATATATATATATATATATATATTATATATATATATATATATATATATAATATATATATATATTATATACACATATATATATATAATATATACACATATACAGTGGACCCCCGCATAACGATTACCTCCGAATGCAACCAATTATGTAAGTGTATTTATGTAAGTGCGTTGTACGTGTATGTTTGGGGGTCTGAAATGGACTAATCTACTTCACAATATTTCTTATGGGAACAAATTCGGTCAGTACTGGCACCTGAACATACTTCTGGAGTGAAAAAATATCGTTAACCGGGGGTCCACTGTGTATATATATATAATATATCATATTATTATATATATATATATATATATATATATATATATATATATATATATATATATATATATTATATATATATATATATATATATATATATATACACATGTATATATATATATGTCGTGCCGAATATGTAAAACTGGTCAATTAGCAAGAACTCATTTAAAATTAAATCTTTTCTAAAATTTTCTCTTATACGTTTAAAGATATATTTTTTTCATTAATGTTGATGTAAAAATTTATAATTTTGCACCAAAAGGAACTTAGAAAACTTACCTAACCTTATTATAACAAGAACAATTTATTTTAGCCTAACCCAATGAAATATATTTTAGATTTATTTACAATAATTTAATACTAAATAAACACAGTGAAATATATTTTTTTTCGTTAGGTTCAGAATTATTTTGGCGAAATTATTGCATACACAAATTTTCGCTTGTCCTATATGGCAAGATGAGCGTTGCTGTTTAAGCCAAGATCGCAAGTTCTGCCTTTGGCACGACATATGTATATATAAAATATATATATATATATATATATATAATATATATATATATATATATATATATTATATATATATATATATTATATATATAGTATATATAATGTAAATTATAAACTTATATTTATTTATAGTATATATATGATATACTGTATATTTTTTTTTCCCTAACGAAGCGTCTCCAGAGGCAGGTGACCCAAAGAACCAAAAATCCCAAAAGAAATTATTTCAATACACTAACAAATTGCCCTCACTCAACATTATACTTGTTTTGCAGTGCTAAATACAGCTGTTAGAGCATATACGTATATAGATTACACAACATATCCCTCAAACTGCCAATCCAAACCCCTTTTAAAGTGCAGCATTGTACTTCCTTTCCAGAGCTACGTATGAAAATAACCGTTTCCCTGAATCCTTCACTAAATATAACCCTTTCACTCACAAAATCGTCAGGTCCAAGTACCATACATTCTTTTCCAACACCTCAATGCATTTGCTGAAGTCACAAGCACCTCGCCAAAAACCTCCTTCTCCTTACCACCTTTTCGAGGGGCCCCTACCCCGCCTTCCTTCCCTATAGATTGATATGCTTTCCTGTCATTCTACGTTGATCCCATTCTCTCTAAATGACCAAACCATACAACCGTCCTTTTCTGCCTCTGACTATACTTTTATAACTCCACCTTTTCCTAATTTCCACCCTTTTCTGCATAATATTTACACCAAATTGCTCTAGACAGACACTCCACTGCCTCCAACCATCTCCGCTGCCTGCTTTACCACCCAAGCTCATCCATATAAGAGTGTTGGTGCAATATACTTTCATCATTCCTTCTTTGCCTCCATAAAAACGTTTTTGACTCCACATATACCTCAACTCACCACTCACCTTTTTTCCTTCATCAATTCTATGATTAACCTCAGCCTGCCCGTAATGCTGTGCATACAAGTGGCTTTGGCATGCTGCTCTTAACTGTATTTTTTTGTACCTCTGTATGTATGTTCAAATTATTAAATAAATAAATAAATAAATGAATAAATAAATCCTTCATAAATCCTTCTGCCGACACGTCAACTCCCAAGTATCTGAAAACATTCACTTCTTCCATACTTCTCCTCCCCAATTTGATATTCAATTTTTCTTTATCTAAATCATTTGATACCCTCATCACCTTACTCTTTTCTATGTTCACTTTCAACTTTCTACCTTTACACACATTCCCAAAATCATTTAATTTTGCAGTATACTTAAGTTTGGTAAATTGTTGCAGTATAATTTCTTGTTTTCCAAACAGATGGAAGCCTCAACAGGAGAGAAAGTTGTGCTGCAAGAGGTAGACTTAAGTGCCTCTGGTGAATATACCTGTGAAGTACACTCAGAGTTTCCAGATTTCATTGGTGCTGATGCTTCAGCCCCTATGACAGTTGTTGGTAAGCTCTTGTTTTGCTGTTTAGTTTTTGTTGTTCTTCACTGTACAACTGTAGTTCATAAGAATGTTCTCAGGTAAGATATTATTACTTTTGTGCATGTTCTCAGGTTTGTTGCTTTATATGTACATGTTCTCAGGTTTGTTGCTTTATATGTACATGTTCTCAGGTTTGTTGCTTTATATGTGCATGTTCTCAGGTTTGTTGCTTTATGTGTACATGTTCTCAGGTTTGTCGCTTTATATGTGCATGTTCTCAGGTAAGATCTGTGGCTTCATATGTGCATGTTCTTGGGAAGGTTTCATCAGATGTATGTTTTCTCTAACCCTTTGGGGGTCGACAGGCCCTCTCAGAGACTTGTTCTCAGGGTCGGCCAAATTTCAAAAAAAAAAAAATTTATTTTTTCTCATGAAAAGATAGAGAATCTTTTCCCGACCATAATGACACCAAAAGTATGAAATTTGATGGAAAACTTATGGAATTATGCTCTCGCAAAGGTAGCGGTCTCAACGATGTTTACGCATCGGCGATTTTGCCCACTTTGAGCCCTATTTTCGGCCAATTCCAGTGTACTAGTCGACAAAAATCATAACTATTTAGCTAGAATTTCATTTTTTCTATCGAATGAGTACAAGAAACCACCCATTTAGCGATTTCAACTGTCCAATAAAGTGATCAGAATTTAGCAATTTTGCCAATTTCACACAAATTTCAAAAGATGCCAATTTCCGAATAGGGTCCAGAATAAACAGGAAAGACATTCCTGGCACTAAAATAACAAGTTCTCTGTTCGATAGTCATATCCCCAGGCCTCTCTTATATTTCTTTGGCTTTCCACTTTGAATTTTTATTCTTACAAAAAAAATAAGATTTACTGTTATGCAGACTATTGCATTAGTGTAGAAATGGTATAAATAAAATCAGTGCACTTGTGAAAGAATATTAGACTCACCAGTTGATGTGTATTGGATGCTTGGCATGATTTGTTTGCTTTTGAACTTTGGTAAAAATCGAACATTTCTGCTACTTTGAGCTCAATTTCAAGGTACTTTTCATTGTAAAACCAGTAAAAATCATCATAATTTCTGTAATATGTCTTCCATTCTATAAAATGAGACCATGAAAACTAGAATACAACAATAAATACCATACGAAAATACAGTGCAAAGTCGCTGTTTTAATCCAAAAACACGGTCAAAGTTTTTTTTTTCTCATTACGCACTGTGTGCTGCAAGATTTTTTTATACTGCACACACTGACCACATAGACCCATTCTTACATATGTAGGCCTACCAGCTTTCTCTCAATAGATTTGAGGGCGCTAGAATTTAGGCGTACTAGTACGTCAAAAACCCTGGGTCGTAAGACGTACTAGTACATCCAAAACCCCCGAAGAGCTAAAATTTAAATTAAAATTAAAATTATATATAAAGAGTCATACATGTACAGTAGTTCTACTTTCAAAATGATTACATGCTGCATTTGATCATTTTATATTACAGATAAAATTTGATACAGTACAGTGTATTAGGTTCTTGAGAAAGCCACTAATTATGCAAATGTATTTTGGGCAAATTAATCATAATGTTTACTCACCACTTAATTCTAGAACACATTCCCCGTGTTCGACTAAACCTTTACAAAAATTCAATGTACAGTGGACCCCCGGTTTACGATATTATTTCATTCCAGAAGTATGTTCAGGTGCCAGTACTGACAGAATTTGTTCCCATAAGGAATATTGTGAATTAGATTAGTCCATTTCAGACCCCTAAACATACACATACAAACGCACTTACATAAATACACTTACATAATTGGCCGCATTGGGAGCTGATCGTAAACCGGGGGTCCACTGTATTTCAAAGGACCTAAAATCTGGAACACCCTACCTGAAAACTCTAGAACTGCAGACACATTCATCACTTTCAAAACTACAGTTAGAAAACATCTTACCTCCCTGATCCACCCCGACAACTAACTACATGATAACCACCTGGTGGTTCACAATTACACTCACTCTCCCACTGACTATAAACCCAGAAATACTAATCTTAAAATAATAAATCCTAACTAGTCATAAGTTTGCCTATGATACTCCAATATAGACACCTTGTATTGTGCCAAAACAAAAGCATTCACATTGCTAAACTCACAAATTATGATGTAGTCACTTAGCCTTAATACCATAATCTGTAAGGATTTAATGTTAAGAATTAATCTAAGTCTGCTCGAAATACCTAGCCATGCTAGGTGTCCTAGTGGCCCCCTCTGTAATTAGTATTTTATAACGTAAACCACACAATACCCAAAACCTGTAAACCCCATATTGTAACCCTTATAGAGAATAAACTTTAATTGAATTGAATTGAATACATTACAGTCATAAATATAATTGGATGGGTTGTATCTGAAGAGCTCATCAGTTACAAATAAATTACACTGAAATTAAATTGGTTCAAGGACATGCATATTATGTTGTAGATGGACTTGGATGTTCATATTAAGGTATGAGAATTAGCAGATGGACAGTGGCTATAATTGAGATTGAATAGGTGCTTTTTAACAATATTTGTAAAGATGATGGTAGACGGAGACCTTTTGACATTTTCAGTCAGTATAGGTTGAGTTGTGTACATGAAATGTCAAAGAGGAACTTGTTCCTTGTATTGTGTCCTAGAAAATAATGAATATCCAATGAGCCTCTTTATTTATCTAAGAAATGCTTTTGATACAGTAGGCCACAATATCCTGCTGCTCAGATTAGAACCTTATGGAATCAGAATCAATGCTCTCACATTGTCTTACCTCAGTGACAGACACTAACTTTTGACCATTAATGACAGTGCTTCACTGACTCTATCAGTCAACACAGGAGTGCCTCAGAGCAGTGTTTTAGGACCTTTCTAATTCCTCATCTACATCAATGACCTTCCTAAGGAAAAGCTTCTCAAGAATTTAAATAACTTTTGTTTTCAGATGACACCTCTTAAGTCATCTCAGATGCAGATCTCATTGTCCTCAATAACACATTTAATGACAAGCTCATAAAGATACTGCCCTTTCCCCCACAGATAACAAAAAACAAACACACTCAGTATAGACAAGACTTTTTATGTAATGTTTCATTTAAAAATAAAGATAAACAACACATGTATTACAAGACAAACCAAAATTTAACACATTCAGGTCAGTACAGTAGAACCCCCGTATCCACTGATTTGGTATCCATGGTGTCAGTTATTCATGGTTTACTGTGGCCCAAAAATACCCCTTAATTTTGCATAATAATGGCTCCAAAATGCAAAAGTAGAGAAACTGGCAGTTCTTCAAAGCCTAAGAGAAGCTGTGAAGTGCTTCCCATGAGTGAAAAGTGATAATTCTCCACTTATTGTGCATAATTTATCACTTATACTTTATAATAGGTATGTGTAAGACTTATGTACAGGGTTTGCTGCTATCTCTAGTTTTGGTATCTACTGCAGGTCCTTGGAACATATTCCCCTGCAGATATGGGGGGTCCTACTGTACTAAGAAAATTTCCTAAATAGTGGACATGCTTTCAGAAATACAGTACTATGTGTCTCCAGTTTCATTACTGAATTTGTACTACTCTCTGATCTTTCCTTATCTCACCTATGGTATACATGTATGTGCATGGGGATCTACAACAACAAATCACCCAAACCTATCATAACTCAACAAAAACCTGTTAATAAAATTATCACTCGTTTGATTTGCATACAACAGATACCCCCGCTACTTAAAAGTGGAAACTTATCTGATACACAAAACATCCATGCTGCTGTGCATATTATATATACAGAACACCCAGCATAAATAAAAACCCAGACCCATCATTAAATCATTAAAAAACAAAGCAGATCTAGATAACTTGCTACCATTCATATATAAAAAAGCTGGTCATGTGCTGTCACCCATTATTGCAACACTGTTTAACATGTCTCTAGAATCTTCAGCCTTCCCATCCATACTCAAGACAGCAAGGGTTACCCCATTTTTCAAAGGAGGTGATCTAACTGATTTGAACGACTATAGACCTGTATCAAACTTGCCTTTACTTTCTAAAATATTCAAAAATATAATACACAAGCGACTTTACTCCTACCTTATATCCAACAATAACTTAACCCCTGCCAGTTTGGGTTTAAACCAAAAAAAAGTGTGAATGATGCTATTATACAAATGCTTGAAGTAATATATACTTCCCTCGATAAAAATTAATATCCTCTGGGGCTCTTCATTGACCTACAGAAAGCATTTGATGCAGTGGACCACAATCTCCAGCACCTAAAACTAAATCATTATGCATCAGAGGCCATTTCCCTGATTACCTAAAATCTTAACTTAATGATAGACACCAGTATGTATACGCAAATGGAGTCAACTCCACTATCCAACCTGTAGCTGTTGGAGTGCCCCAGGGTAGTGTCCTAGGTCCACTCTTCTTTCTCATCTACATCAGTGATCTTCTCAATGCATCCCAACTCCTTAAACCAATTCTATTTGCAGATGACACTACTTATGTCTACTCCCACTCAAACCCAGCTATATTTAGAGACGGTGTAAACAACGATCTGCTAAAAATATGTATTGTACTTGGGTGATGACCAACAGACTCATTTTCATCATAAACAAAACATACTTAATGCACACAAAAATCACTCCCTATGAAAGCAAAAAACTTGGCAGATGATGCAACATTCCTCAATGAAAAGCAGGGGTGCCACTAGCACGATAAAGAGACAACACAATAAGTGTCAGGGGCCCAAGACTGCTCAACTCCCTCCCAGCATACATAAGGGGGATTACCAATAGACCCCTGACTGTCTTCAAGCAGGCACTGGACAGGCACCTAAAGTCAGTACCTGACCATCCAGGCTGTTGTTCGTACATCAGGTTGCGTGTGGCCAACAGTAACAGCCTGGTTGGTCAGGCCCTGATCCACCATGAGGCCTGGTCACAGACCAGGCCACGGGGGC